TGGCAGTCTGCTTCCATAAAGATTTATAGCCTTGGAAACCCTATGGGGCAGTTCTACTCTGTCCTATAGGGTCACTATGAGTTGGAATCGACTCGATGGCAGTGGGCTTTGGGCTTGGTTGGTTACAGTATTAATTTGTAAATTAATTGTAAGTTATTTAATTCAAGATTCTCATTCTCAACAAAGAATCTATAAAACCTCATTATCACAAAGCGTAAAGGTATAAAAACCTCCCTCTCACTTCTCCAGTTAAAAATGGAAAACTAAAATAAACCTCCAATTTTGAAATTGCATGATGGTCTGACCTTTGATAAATGAGTCAACAAATAAGATTTATTGAATTTTGAGGTATTATGTTTGGATTACATAGGAATGATAACAAGTTCCCATTTTAAAATTAACACGCTATAGAGCAATTTGTTAGGTGTATATTTGCCATTCAAATAATTTATTGCAGATCTGAATATATAATGTCATTTTGCTTTTTTGTGAACTTGGCTTACTCATTTGCATTCAGGTGGTCATGCCTGAATACATAACCTTTTATTTTCTTTTAAAACAGAGGAAAGATGGGTCAGAATGGGCAAGAGCCTGTGAAACAGCCAGGAGTAGGAGCAGGACTAACAGATACTGAAGGTAAGTTAAAATCTATAGCTCTGGATTCTGTTTGAATCTGCTTGCTACACTATAAGTATTTGATTTGTTTTTCTTTTAATATAAACGTACATTTCTAAGTACTAATGGCAAAAGCACTAGGTTGTAAGTCATTGTTATCTATTAAATGACAATGGGCTTATAACTTCTTTTAATAATTTTCCAATTTCCTCATTCATATTCAAAATTTAAGTACTTTGGGGGAAACGAAAATATAAAAGAGAAAGAAAGAATTAGAAGAATGGCAGGAAAGAAACTCAGAAGACTTTCTCAAAGAAAAAATAACTTTGTAAAATTTTTTGTTTGTTTATAATACTATTCAAATAGAAATTCAATCTTGAAACTTCATTTAAGTCAATGAACATTCTTAAATATATGAAGCTGAGGATAAAATAAATATGTCAAAATAATCTTATAGATAAATTAATATCCAAATTGATTTCTAAAGTGAAAACCAAATTTGAAATTAAATTTGGTTATACTAAACAAATAGCAAATGTATTACAAAATGCAAAAAAAAAACTTAGCTTCAGCAAACACATAAGATTATCTCTAAGATTCACAAAGACTAGTTTGTCTTTTACAATATCATGATAAAAATCTGGTAAGAGCTTCATGAATTGTACTAATCTCTTAATAATTTTAACTATTCTAAGTACTTTATACTATCTAAACACTTTTCATGTATTTGCTATTTAATTCTTACAATTACCTATGAGGTAAATAATATTATCTTACCGGTTTTACATAAAAGGTAAGTAAAATGCAAACATCACATAAGGATTTGAACTCATGAAAATAAAGTCAAATCCCCTGATATTAAAAAGAATGGTTATGGGCAGAGTATCACAAGGACACTGGATGGAGAAATAAGAGACATGGATTTCAAATTTATATATGTTACATGATCTTTCCTTCTTCTGAAACCTCATCTGACAAATGCTCTGTCTAGGCAATCTTCAAGATTCCTTGTGGACTTAAATGGATATCACATTTTTCCTGGTTTTCCTCAATATTCTCTATTTTCCTTTGGGGTCATTCAAAGGCTATGCTTCCTCTGCCTGTTACCATGTTCCCCAGGGTGCCATCCTCAATCCACCAATTCTTTTACACACCATCTCCCTGGATAATATCATCAACTCTCACTATGTTTTGATAAGCCCCAAATCTACAGCCCAAACTCCCTGGAATTCAGACTTACATAATTGGCATCTTCCAGATATCTGTGCCCAACCAGGAAAATAGAAATCTCTCTGAATATTTAATACAGAAGAAATTTATGGCCAGAAATTGACACTATACTCAAGAGGCTGAGAAACCCAGCTGGGGATAGTGAGGAAGCAGAGGGAAGTTACTGAAGGAAGTCCTTGTAAATTGGAGGCCAACGGGAGCTGAGACGAGGGCAAACCTCTTTTTCTAGAAGCAGGAGACAATGAAGAGGCACAGTAAGTACCAGAAATATATCCTGACACACACAAGGTTGGGAGAAATATCCCAGTTTCTCCTTCCCATTCTCCACTTTCATGCCACTGCTTGAGGAAACCCAGCTGGAAGCCAGCTGACCGAGAAGCCAGGAAAAACATAGCCTAGGGGGACAGCTATTCTGAGAGGAGAGCAAAGGAAAGCTGAAGAATGGATCTGAGGGCACACAGCCTTGGACTAGTGCAATATTTTAACTGGAGATCCCGTACAGACATCGAACTACATTTGCTCTAAACTTAATTCACCCTCTTCCCCATTTTGCCTCTTCCTTCTACACGCTTCTACACCTTCAAAACAACCGTCTATTTATATCATAATCTGCATATATTATCATTGGTTTTTGAATTAAATTGATCTATTTCTATACCTCTCTCCTCCATAAGGTTGTACAGGGCAGAATTACACTTTGTTCCTCTTGGTGTCCCAGCACTTAGCAGAAAGCCTTGCCCACTGGGTTGCTTAAAAACGTTTGTTGAGTGGATGAATAACCAATATGATCATATATTAAAATAATGACCATTGTTTTCATATGATTCTAGAATATAGGTATCTAGAGAAGTAATTTGTGCCTGTTTTTTTTTTTTTTTTTTTTTCCCAAAGGCTTAGCACTTAATTTAACCTTTCTTAGTGGCACAGTGGTTAAGAGCTTGGCTTCTAACCAAATGGTCAGCAGTTTGAATTCATCAGCTGCTCCTTGGAAACCCTATAGAGCAGTTCTACACTGCCTTACAGGATTGCTATAAGTAGGAATCACCCAGTAAGTCTAGCCTTTTTTTTTTGTATTTTGGTTTTTTTGTTGTTGTTGTTTTGAATCCTAAAGTTTACAAATAAAATAATTTTAGTACAAATGTTCACAGCTGTCAGTAAGTAGAAATTGTTCATTCTAATACTGCTTTCTTCTTTCATATCAGCCCCACACAAAACACATACTTGTTCTCCAAGAAGGAACCAATCATTGGCTCTTTTACGTTTTTATTTAAATTTATGAGTCAATGTGTCTATACTTTAGTAAACGGACCTGATAAACAGTTGATCTCAGATTAGTTGTTGAGCAAAGAAGCGGGATGGGAACAGGATGGAATATGCAACGTAATGTGAGTCATTTATACTCATGTGCCCTTTTGGTAGCAATGTTTTGAACAAGTTGTTTTTGACTGAGTTATTACTGACATTTTGACAATGACCAAATTTATAATTTATGTAACTATAGGATATTGGGCATAAATAGTTCCACAAGAGATATATAAGAGATGGCTAATAATATGGGAAAGAAAACTATAGAATATTAAACTTTTAGAGAAAATTTTAAATTAGAAAGACTATATACACAGAGTGTAGGGAGAAAATTTTTAAATTTTACTGGAATTTATTTGTTCTAGTCAAATAAGAAAAAATCAATTTAAAGTGCAATATTTTGTTTTGTGCCCATGAAAATATGAAATCAACTTTGTGTTGTACTTAAGATATATTTGTGATTTATATTTTGTTTGTTTTAATTTGAATGATCTAAAGAATTGCCTTCACTTCCTTTTGTTGTCAGTCAATATAAACAGCCAATTCAATGGGGAGAAACAAAAACAAAACAAAACAAAACAAAAACGAGAGTCAATTCAGTTTGGTTTTAGACAAAACATATAGTTCCTAATTGGATTTTTCCTCTTTTCAATTCTTTCCTAGGGTACCATGAAAAGTGTCTCTTTATAGATAAGCACATTGTTCTTGAAATTTTATCTACTTGCAGTATCCCACTTCATCTTGAGTCTTTCATGTTATTCATTTAAGCAGTTTGTTTTATGAACTTCTTGGTCCATTCTAAGGAAAATTGATCTATGAATATGTGCTGTAGGACAGCATACTATAAATCAAAAGTCTATCATAGATTTTAAGTAATGTCCTTTGTACATTTTGTTCTCAGAAAATTTTTTATCTTATTTTGTCTCTGTAGTGTGCCGAATACATAAACTAATGTTTTATGAGGTTGATAAGTTGTATTGAACATGTTGTTGAGATTTTTTTAATGTTAAATAACCATGACCTTGTTCTACTTATTAAGCAAGTCTATTTATTTTGGCTTCTGATAAGAAAAAATCTATTTTCCACTTCATCATTTTCTGTAATAATTTTTCATCTTTATAGAGGTGACTCATAAATTTTAATCCCAGCATGAGATTAATTCAATGGGTCAGAATTGAGATCAATCAAAGGTTCTGGGGTTCTGACCTAAATTTTAGTAGAATATAGTAATACTCTTCTGGACTATCTCTACCAATGAGTGATTGAATTTCTACAATTTAAATAAATGCACAATGTAAAGTACAAATCAGTACTGTGTTTGGCACATGTTCAACACTCTAAATTGTAGCTATTATTAAATTAGAAATGGGTATAACGCAGAGTCATTTTAGATTTTAATGGAATAAAATTATTCAGATTGTTAAAATATCATACACTTGTTTGGAGAGTTATACGAGACTACTTTTTTTTTAAGATTTGGATCAAATAAATTACGCTCTAATCGTACAGAAAAAAACTCTGACTTCTAATGATATCATCAATTTAGGCTATTTAGCCTTTTCTTATTTTTTTTTATTAGTGAGGTGCATTCAATAGTGTTACTTTTTGTCGCTGGGCACCCATGTATATCACATATAGTAACTGACTTGATTCTATTATTCTCCTAAGCTAGGTATTGACAAACTTTAGCAAGCATTAGAAACACGACTCTCTGTGAGGTTTAATTTGCTTGGCTCTGTATACTTAAAGAACAAATCATCCTAATAAATCACTTATTTTCTTAACTGTCTTTGGAAGCCTGAATTTAATCAATCAGTTTATTATCAATGGGCCAAGACAATTAAACCTCCATTATTATAGAAATGTGGGAGAATATTTGAGTGTGTAAAAGCACATCACTATTTATGTTAACCTAAGGAGGTTGGGGGACAGGGGCAGAAAGCAAGATTTGATTTAGTCAAACTCACATAAACACCAAATATTATTTTAAGCAAAATTGTACTATAACTCTATTGCAAGATGAGGAACAGTAAACCTTCATCTACCAAAATAAAAAATTCAATAAATTGTAACAGCAATACAAAGTTATTTTGAGAAACATGAATATAAAGAACCAAAGAAACAGATAAGATAGTTGACAGTGATTTTTCTTGGCAATGTTACTGAGGGTTTGGGGAAAATGAAGGGGTGGGATATGGGAGAATTGGTTTTTGATAAAGAAGTCATAAGATATAAAATCAAAAAACCTTTTGATACATAAGGAAATATGAATTTAGGGATGGTGATCAAATAGTATTAACAAGTAACAACAACAACAGAAATTTGGTATTATTTGCAGTAAATAAATAACTTCTTAGAGTTGTGTGCCGTCAAGTCAATTCTGACTCATGGGGATCCTATATGACGGAGTAAAACTGACACGTAAGGTTTCCAAGGCTGTCATCTTTAAGTGAGCAGATCACCATGTCTTTTCTCCCTCTGAGTCA